CCCTGCCCTGCGCGGCGCCCCCGTGCGCTCCCGGCCGCGCGGGCGGGGCTGGGGTCGGAGCGCCCGCGTCGCCCTTCTCATCCGCGCAGTGGGTATGACTGTCCCCTCTCGGCCCATTAATCTGAAATCAAAGTGTGTTAGTTACGAAACTCCGAGCGTAGTCTTCCAGGAGACCTCGCGCTGCCTCGGTCTCAGCCCCGCGGGCCTCCCTTTAAGGTGCCAGAGGTGAAAAAAAAAGATGTCAACGTTGTTAGCCAGGTTCGCAAACTTCTCTGATTGTGCTCTCGCTCACTTGCTGCCGCTGCACTTTTGATTTTCACAGTTGGGAGAAAATCCAGGTAAATTTTAGTTTGGGGTTTTGTAATTGTTAATCCACTTTCTTCAGCGAATTGCAGAACATAATGTGAAGATGCTCTACAAGATTGTGTGGTTTTTCAAGTGTTGGCTTGAAAAAATTAAGCAGCACAGTTTGAGAAATCCAGTACTTGTTACTCAATGTGTAGAAATTTAGACTGGCTTGATATATTGAGGTAATAGACCCATTGCTGTAGGATCTTGAGCATTTTCCTGAGATTTAAAAGGAGGGATACTTTAATCGTTGTTTTAATGCATTGTTATATTTTAAATTTTAGGAAAAAACTCGATTTTTTTCACACAGCAGCGCTCTCCTTTCTGTTGATTTCCTAGAGATTCTCCAAAATCCTGAAAAGGAGTTGCTTCATAGTCCTCAACTTCGTTCCCCTAGTCACAAATTTGTGTGTTTTCCTAGAAGTTGTACAGAAAACTTCACTTTTACAACTGGATTATTTTAGCACTGCAGATGTCTTTAAAAAGTACTTTGAAGTATCCAAGGAGCAGACGTTAGATACATGCTTAAAAAATTGGTGATACAAAAGGCACTTTAACAATACTGAACAATGTATATAAATTAAAAGGTTTGTCAAGTGCAGTAGGAGGTGAGAGCTCGGGTGTAGGGCCGTTGCCCAAGTCCTGGGTGAATGAATCTGTGTGTGGCTCAGCTCAGGAGCAGTCAGCCTCATCTGTTAAATGGGCGAAGTGAGATCTTCCTCCTTTGGTTGTCTTTCGGATTAAAGGGAAGTGGTAAAATGGAAATCTTGAAGTAAGTGCTCAAGGGATTTTTTTGGGGGGGTGGGTTGGGGCGCTGGCTCAGCCTGCCCTGGTGGCGGGCTGCCATGGCCAGTGGTGCCTGAATGTGGAGGTCCCTGAGCTTGCCACCGCAGGTGCTTGCCACCGCTGAGCTATCTCATCAACCCAACGGATGTCAGTTTCCCTTCCTTACAAAAATATTTTGAGCGTAGGTAAGGTCCTCTGCGCCAGGCGTTGGCAAGACCTAGAGACAGCAAACTAAAGTTGATTGGGTGCTGAGGCCTTGAATTTAGAGAGGAATTAGTGCCCACACCAGCGCATGATCCTTCCACCATTCAGGAGGTTCTCCGAGCTGGTTTGGGGGTGTTTTCTGGATAGCTAGTGTACCGTCTGTTGAATAGTTGGCGCTAATATATATTCATTTAATTGAACTGAAAGGTAAAGATAGGTTCTGAAGACTAATATCTGCAAATCAGTGTAACTGATAACATGGGAAGTGCTTCTTGATAAAGCAGCTTGATTGTTGCAACTGGTTGGGAATTTTATCTTGGCTAATTATAATCTCTTCACTAAAAATGTTCCTTATGAGTGAGATATTGTTGGTGGCCTTTGAATTAAATCAGTTTAGGTTGTTTGAAACCAAGTCATTAGGTGTGGAACGCGTGCTTAGTCTGTGCTTTAGCCCTGGCCAGTGAGGACAGTGTTATCTTTCTGGTAAAGTGAGCTGATACTTGGTACATAAAACGGCCAGTGAATTAGTTTCTCTTTCATTAACCCACCAGCAAATGTTCTACAGAATGAACCTATTCTTGATTTGTAGGAAGGGAATTCTGTTCTGTAGTCAGTAGTAGTAGTCTGCCTTTTTCTTTCTTGAGGCAGTAGGAATTGAATCCAGGATCTTTGTGCTAAGCTACATCCTTAATCATTCTTTTTTTAAAATTTGATACAGTGTCTTCCCAAGCTGCTTACCTAGGTTGAGATCACCGTTGAGTCCTCCTGCCTTAGCCTCACAGGGTGCTGGGATTACAGGTGCACACCACCAGGCCTAGTTTGGTTTTGTTTTTCTCTTGGAAAAAACTTTATTTTTTTATTTTTTGTATTTTTAGGGAAGGGTCTACAGGGTGTTCAGGGTCTCACTACTAGAGCAGAGTCATAGTGATCCATCTGTTTACAGCCTTCCAAAAGCTGGGATTATAGGCCACCATGCCCAGTGTCAATTGCTGTCTCAGTGTGCCCCAGGGGGGGCCCAGCATGGCAGGCCCAGGAATCAAACCCCCAGCCCCTGCACCTGCTTTGCAGGTGCTTTAATCTGCTGAGGTATTTGACCAGCCCTTCTTGGAAAAAAACTTTAAATTTTATTTCTAGTTGCTGTTGTTGTCCTTACACTGACAAATATTTATTACATAAGGGCACCAGTCTTACTTGTGAGAAGAGAATGGCTGTGGTTACCAAAGTTCTACGTGAAATTTGTTCTTAACTTTTCATTCGTGTGTTCTGAGACAGAGCCATCTCTAGTCCCTAAATATTGCCGTTTTCTTTCAAAATGTTCTGCTACAGTACCTTTCTCCCCATGAGTAACATGCTGTCTCTTTTAAAAATAATTGTATTAAAATTTGTGCTAAATTTACATTTGGATTGAGAGTTTTACATTGGGTTTACATTTGGGTTGACAATTTTATTCTTGACATCAGCTTGAAATAAAGCTCTTATTTACCATCTTAATTCTGTGCATAACAAAGCAATTCAGTGTTTCATTCTGGTTTTCCTACTTTGCAAATGGTAGCTGAAAGTACCCGGTGAAAAGTTCTCTAGAGAACTGTGCCGGCAGGAAGGTGATACAGAACGGAGCTACAGTACAAAGTAGAAAATGCACTTTTCTTAGTTAGAGAAAGTTATCAGAATGAGGAATTTACATTAATTCAGCAAGAGGTGAAAGTTCATGCCGGACAGATGGTAATGGAACTAGGAAAGACTGTGGACAATATTTATGGGAAATTGAGCGTCATTTTGGCAGTTTGGGTATAAACTGCTAAGGAGTCAGGGTTACTGCATTTTTTGAACCTGTGTAAACCATTGATTAAGGATACATGTGACAAATGTCTTTAAATTATTTAACAGTACAGTTCTTAATTTTCCTGGCTCACTGTCTCTTAAAGGCATTGTGCTTCCCGCCTTTTCCAGCAGTAGTCTGCCCTAGGCATGGACAGGTGGTCGTAAGTCATTCAGCCCACGAGAATACACTTTCAGACGCACAGAAATACGTGAGCATTGCTAAGGGAACTTTTGGAACTTACTGTTGTATCTTTGATCCAGTGGTCTGTAAGCCCTTGTCAGCTCTGGGAAAGCAAATGACTAACTGTGTGTTTCGGCTCCCAGAAGGGACTGGCAGTAGTGGCTTTACAGAGTAATCAGTATCAAATATCTGGAGAATTAAATATGTTGTCCTTGCCTTTTGAGCTTGTGCATGTGTTTTAACTTTTATATTGAGATAAAACAGTTTATATAGTAGGGTATATGGTGTTGTTACATCAGGATCAAGAAATACAGACCTAAGTTTCCTGATGTTTCCATACCCTTTCTCCAGCAATGACCACTGCTTTAGCCATTTAATTTGTAATCTGCTTAATGTAAACTGAAGAAAAAAGCATTTTGCTCTGCTTTCATTCTTTAAAAGACCATGTTAGTGCAGTGACACTGTTTATCCAGATCTGTTGCATTGTACCATATTGTATTATTATTATTATTATTTTTGAGACAGGGTCTTGCTATGTAATTCAGGCTGACCTTCAACTCACTATGTAGCCCAGGCTGGCCTAAAACTCACATGATCCGCCTACCTCAGCCACCTGAGTGCAGGGATTACAGGCAGGTGCCATTACACCGCCGGGCTTCCAGATCAGTTTTAGGACTTGTTATGTCTATGAAGGTTAGTGCTTCTACACATAGTAATTTAAAAAAACTGATCAGCATTTAAATCTTGAGAAGGAATGCAAAGGTGTTTCTTGGTAGCTACCTGATAACTACTAAGTTGGATTTTAGTCCCCCTTAAGTATGCATGTATAGAAGGGTAATCCAGATATACTCCTTGCCTGTTTTGAGGAAAAAGTATCCCATTTTTCAGTTACCCTTTTAGTTTTAAGAAATCAGTGCTTTATACACTCTTAACGAGTGGTTACTTTGAAGATGTTAGTGATGAAGTGGGGCACCAGCAAGTTTTAGTTGTCATGTTTTCATTAGTTTCTTCACCTTGAGCAGCACAGTTGACTTCTGTGTATCTTAGTTCCTCATTTAGAATATTTAGAAATTGGGAGCCGGGGAGATGGCTCAGTGGAGTAAGCGCTTCCCTGGCAAGTGCAGGGGCCTGAGTTCAATCCCCGGTTCCACCAAAAAAAAAAAAAAAAAAAAAGAATATTTAGAAATTGGATGATAGATATTTCGTCAGGTTATGCCAACACAGAAGTTAGGACGCTGAATGTTCAGTAATTTTCTTCCTCAGACAAAAGGCAAGCAAAAACTAAAGTATGAAATTGCATTATCAGAAACAGTCCTGTGTGTGTGCATCTCTGTGTAATTTCTCATAACTTGACATATGATCTCTTCTACACCCCCAAAATGGAAAATGATCACCTCTCATGGAGTGCCACATTTTATTTTCCTTTTCCCTCTTGTAATTGAGACTAAAAGGGAGAATTTAGGGTGATTTAATATATACATCCTTAACTTTGCCAACATTCATTTTAGGGATCTTTAAAACAAATACACAAAACTGAAAAGTATGGTGAATGTTAAAAGTTTAGAAATGTGCTACAGTAAAAGATGTATTGCTGTTAATCCCCGTAGAACACTATCACTTTGAACACTTAGCCCTTGCATTTCTGAAGAACTTGTTTGAGTGTGTAGTTGTACTGTTGTGGTTGCCTGAGTATTCTTAGTTGATTCAAAATGTTTTACCTTTCAGTATCATTTTGACTCTGGAGAAAAGCCAAAGTCATGCAGTGCCAGAGCCAGTGAAGGGGAAGGAACACAGTATGCAGGAGTGTTCTTCTGAGCCTGCTTTTCTGTGGGTGTCACGCACGGCGGCATTCTCCCATAGTTTTCCATCATACCTATATGACACTCACAAAGAGGATTTCCAGAGCTGCTTCAGAAAGTGGCAGGAAGGATAAGTGTGTTTGAAGAGAGAGGTTTTTTTTTTTTGGTACCGAGAATTGAGCTCAGGACTCTGCACTTGCCAGGCAAGCACTTATTCTACTGAGCTATCTCCCTGGCCCAAGAGGGGTTGAATTTAAAGAAGATTAATGGCGCTGTGTGTTTTACTTTTTTTTTTTTTTTTTTCATTTAGTGCAGGGTCTACAGGGTGTACAGGGTCTCACTACACAGATCATACTCGTAGTGATTCTCCTGATTTCAGCCTCCCAAGTGCTGGGATTGCAGGCACGCATCAGCATACCCAGTCTCAGTTGCCATCTCAGCACGCCCCAGGGGTGGGACTGGCATGGCAGGCCAGGGATCGAAACTGACCCCTGCGTCTGCTCACCTATCTGCAGCCCCTTTGTGTCTTTTACTTTCTTTTCAGTATGTTTTGATCACACCCCCTAGTGATTATATACACACACACATATATGTGCTATTGGTGGCTAAAATGTGTGAAAAATGTGAAAGCATGACCATATTTAAAAGGTTAGCAAAATTATACCCGTTTCAACATTTTTGATAATCTTTTATTCATGTCATTGCTATGACTGTAGTTCTTAATTCCTGTAGAACTTGTTTTATGTAGAAATACATCTCTACTTAACCATCACAGGCAATTTGAGTCTGATCTTAAAAGACTCAGACATTGGAGTGGATTGACTGGGCTCAAATCCCACTTCAGGAACTTCACAGCTCCACGTCTGCCAGCAGCTAGCTTAACTCTGCTGTACCTTGGTTTCCCTATGTAAAATAAGGATTGGAAGGTACATTCCTCAACTCCTTCACAGGGGTGTTAAGAACATTAAGTGAGTTAGTACATGTAAGGGGCTAACTAGAATGCTTGGTGAGAAGTAGCTCTTACAGTGTATTGAAATGCTATTGTGAGGTCAAAGTTATGTTCCTAGAGAAGCTTGGAAATATGTTTGTTACTAAGGGTCCTAGCTTCTTGATGGAAATTGGCTCTCTAGAAAGGGTTATAGTCAGTGCAAAACATTGATGGTATTCATGATTTCTATCAAGATTTGAGTCCGAATCTGAAATTTTTCTAACGTAAGAAACACAATGTTCACAAATGTCTCCATGCAGTTTAGAAGCGTTTTTGCACTGTAGCTGAGGTGGGATGCTGTGCACAATCTTGGGGAGCACAGTTTGGTTACTACATAGATAGCTCCGAAGCTGTCATCACCTTGGAGGCATAGGTACATTACTGCCCTGGGTGGTGCAAGGGGAGGGTTCCAGATATGAGCGTGGCAAGCTTGAGACCTGCCTGAATGATACAGCAGGACATTGTCTCAAAGTAAAATTTAAAGAGGGCTTGGGAAGTTGACAAGAGTTTACAGCTCTTGTCTGGCATCCAAGAATATTACAGAAAATGAAACTGTATTTTTATGTGTGTATCTATTATCTCCCAAGAGTTTTCTCACACCCCTTAGTAATTCTTCCTTTCCACGTCTGCATTCCCCTCCCAAGATAACCACTCTGCTTTGTTGCTAGGTATTTGTTTACAGTTTCCACAAGTATGTAAAATATGAAACCATAGTACGTCCTGGCTTCTTTCATTCAGTATAATTATTTTGAGATACATCTATGCATTCTTTGTAGCAGTAGTTCATTCCTTTTATTGCTCAGTAATATTCTATTACATATACTGGTATATATCACAGCCTGTTTATCCATTCATCTTCTGATGTACATGTAGTTACTTGCATTCTGAAGCTATTCAAGATGCTATTCAGATACAAGTCTTTGAATGTCTGCTGTTTTCATTTATTTTGGCTAAATTCCTAGGCATAGAATGGCCGGGTAATGTGGTAGATGCTTATTTAACTTTGTAAGAAATTACCAAACTTTTTTCCAGAGAGTATCATTTTACATTCTCAAATATTTAATAGTTCTCACTGTTCTACATTCTTACCAGTATCTGGGGTGGCCATTATTTTAAATTTGATTCATTCTAGTGGGTATGTAATAGTTTCTAGCTGTGGTTTTATTTTGCATTTCCATGATGCTAAATGATGCTGAAATTTAATATACATATATATAATATATTAATATATATTTAATATATAGCATATATACATCATTTAATATAATTAAAAATAAAATTATTTTGTCCTAATCCAGGGTCACATTGATTTTCTTTTTTAAAGATGTGTTGGAAGAAAAAAAGATATGTTGAAGTTTTAACTTTTACATTAGATGTATTATGTTATCTTTTACAAATGCTGTGAGATATGATTGAAGTTTTTGGTTGTTTGCATATTGATAGCCAGTTTTCCAGCACTGTTTGTGAAAAAGACTATCATTTTCCCAAGCTGTTTCGTGCCCTTGTCAGCTTTATTTGTTCTTGTGAGTGTGGGTCTATTTTTGTATTTCCCTTGATCTAATAGTATATACTGACTCCGATAGTACACAGCTTTGCTTACCGTGGCTTTAAAATGAGTCTTGAAGGCAGCAGGGTTAGCCCATCTACTTTGTTCTTTGGTGTTTTCATTATTATGGGTTCTTCGCATTTCCATATGAGTTTTAGGTTGGCTCCTTGAGTTTTTGGAGAAAAGGCCTGCTGAGGTTTTGACTGTATAGCTCAGTTTGACTTAATATTTTAACAGTATCGAATGCTCCAGCCCTGTCAAAGTAATTTACCCTTTTTAAAGTAATAAAGGTCTTTTACATTTTTTGTCATTAATACTTGGTAGTTTTCAGCATACAGATTTCATAAGATTAGATTTATCCTTAGTTATCCATATTTATTGAGGCTCATAAATTTTTATTTCAATTTTTGATTGTTGTTAACTTAGAAAAATGCAATTGATTGTACAGGCCACTACATTTTATACATGGGCAAACAGCTTTACTTCTTCCTTTCCAACATGGCTTCCTTTTTCTTGATTGCGTTGGCCAGAACCTCCCCTGCAATGTTGCGCAGAAGTGGTCAAAGTAGACGTGCTTGGGTTGTTCATGGCCTTCATGAAGATGCTACACGTTTTTCAGTGTTCTTGTTTAGACTGAGAAAGTTCCCTTCTATTCTTAGTTACTTTTTTTTTTTTTTTTAGATCAAGAATAGATACTGAATTTGTCAAAAGTCTTTTTCTGTCTGCTGAGATGCTTCTTGTTTTTTCCAGTGCACCAATACATTGAATCCCATTTGACTTTTGAATGTGAAATCAACCCTCCATTCTGGGCTGAGACTACTTGGTCATGACGTAATGGACTTCTGTGTATTGTTGGATTCAGGTTACCAATATGTTATTAAGGAATTTGTTAGAGTGTTAGTCTCTAGTATTTTTTTCTGGTTGTATCTTTGGATTAAGTTAATTATTTCAGTGTGAAATAGAGTTGGAAAAAACTCTGTTGTTCAGATTTTTGGCAGTTTGGAAATTGGTATTATGCCTTCCTAAGTGCGAGATGATTTATCAGTGAAGCCATCTGGACCTAGAAGATTTCTCATTGCAAATTTAAGTTTTAAAATCAATATAGAGATTTTTAGGTTATCTGTTTCTTACACTTTGATAATTTGTATTTTATAGAGAATTTGCCTGTTTCGTCTCACCTATCAAATAGAAGCATAAAGTTGCTTACAGTACTGGCAGATGTATCAGAATGTTTTGTGTTCTTATATACTTTTGATTAATTGACCCTTTTATTATTGTGAAATCACTGCTTTGTCCCTAATATTTTTTCTAAAGTTTGTCTGACATTAAAAATACTCACTTCAGCTGCCTTTTGATTAGGGTTATCAAAGTGTAGTTTTTTCATCCTTTTACTTTTAATCTATTTGTAGCTTTATATTTAAAATGCATTTCTTGAAGGCACTGTATGATAAGCTCCTCCTTTTCTGTCTGGTCTGTTTTTGCCTCTTTATTGGGATGTCAGACAATTTGCCTTGCATGTGACTAGCATCATGGTTAGGTTTATAAGACTGATTTTGTATTTGTTTACAATTTGTCCCACCTGTTATTTCTAGTTTTTTTGCTGCCTGTTCTATTGAGTAGCTTTTTATCCTCTTTGTTAGTTTACTGGCTATGACCAGTCCCTACCAGAGAACACTGTTTGACTAGTAAAAGTAGGCCAGGTATTGAGAGTGTGTACCAAATACATAAATAAAAAATAAAAATAAAAGAGTAGCCAGATATCAATATTTCATTGAATAAACCTCCAGATTTGTGAATCATTGAAGTTAGATAAATTTTGTGGTTGCCTTATTTATTTATTTATTTATATTTTTTTGTGGTTGCTTTAAATGTATTAGTTACGTGACTTTGAACCACCTGACTTCTTTCAATGTTCCCATCTGTGAGACCAGCCAGATAACTCAGCGGATTACAGCGCCTGCTGAGGCAGATGCTGGGACTGTGGTTTGATCCCTGGCTTGCAGTGCCTGCCCTGTCCTTGGGGAGCACTGATTGAGACCGGCGTGGTGGCGGATGCCTGTAATCCCAGTGCTTGGGAGGCTGAAAACAGGAAGAGCACTGTGAGTCCGATCTGTGTTGTGAGACCTCTAGACCCTGTTCTAAATACATTTAAAGAATTCCCATCTATGAAATGGGTCTAGTAAAATCTAGCTAGCTACAGATTGAAATGTTTTAAATACTTTGAGCAGTGCTGTGTTCATATGATTCAGACTTCGAAAGCTATAAAATTCTTAAAATCTAGTGTCATAAGTTGTGGATATGATTTGCAGTTTTTAAAAAGTCATTGTGTTCTTTCTGTTTGTGATTTAGAGCAAAAATAAAAATGTTTGATATTTTTCAGTTGCATGACTTCTCAGTTTGACTGAAGAACAAAAATCCGGCCTATGAAACCCATGCAGTGCGCTGATCTCTGTGTGCCCTTTCCACAGGTTTTGATCCCCGTCATGGCCATCACTCAGTTTCGGTTATTTAAAGTTTGTACCTGCATAGCAACTGTATTCTCATTTCTAAAGAGATTAATATGCAGGTAAATAAATTTTATTTTAAACTGACCTATTTTCTCACTGATTCTAGGTTCTTTCAAAAAGGCAAAAGAGATACTGTTTACACTAAATCCTCGTCCATTAATAATTTTTTTAAATATTTTTCCTAGTTCAGATTTAGAAGGTAGAAGTTTGTTTTTGTTCTTTCAAATGATATGTTAAATACCATAGCATTTCAGAATTAAGCTGGTTCTTATTACAGACTTCCCAGAGTTTTTATTTATTGTTTCATTATTAGAATATATCAAGGTGGTTATGTGAAAGTTGGCATCAGTATCTGTCTATACTTGCATAAGAATGTTATATTTATTTAAAATACTTAAGGAAAGAAGCCTTATAAAACAGATTGTTTCTTAGGGAACATTCCAGAATATGTGGGTAGCCCATAGCAGGACTGTACTTCAGTAGAGTATCTGTAGACTCCAGTTCCATCTGTCTTATCAAATTACTGTACCCTAGATGTGACTTAGGACCTGTGCACAGAGGTGCCTCAGGGCTTCTTAGGGCGTGTGTGTGTGTGTGTGTGTGTGTGTGCGTGTTTGTGTGTACAGGGCGAGCATAAGAGAGTTTAAGTTTTCCAGTGAAACACAGTGATAGTCTACATCTGCTGAACATTGCAGACTCCTAACTCAAGGTCTTTCACATTTTCAACACTGGATCCTACAGAGTTCCTTACTATGGATGGTTCTTATGCTTGAAATGGGTTTTGGTTTACTTGTATTTTTGTGACATCTTTGCAAAGAGGTTTTAGGTTGTGATTAAAAGCAAGTACAGCATCAAAATTAATGTAGAAAGAATATGAGGATGGTAGCCTCCAGTCTGATTCCACAGCTTGCAAAGTTGTAAGGCTTCCAAGAGATGAGCACACGGCAGTAGTAAGAAATTTCTCTTTTCATTCTTAATAGAAATACATTTTCTTTAAACTTATTATGTGTTGTTTTTCAAGTGGCTGGTAAGCCTATTTAAGTTAAAGCATAGGTAAGTATTAAGTTGTTTGGGCCTAACTACTTAGTCTGTGGAACTGTTAGGTATTCCTTTGGTCCAGAATATAATAGAATAAAAGAGGAAGTATATAGTGATCACTTTATCTTGTTAGTAGATATCACTTAGAAGTTACATCCAGGTATTCTCTTCCCAACCTAGTGCCCAGTGCTTAGTCATCGGGCTAGCTTGCCACCAGGAAGTCTAGAAGATGTAACCCTTGGCTAACTGGTCATTTGATAGCTCCTGAAATTTTGATAATTAGATGTCATTGAATTCATTACTAGAAGTAGGATGGTCTAGGATTTTAAAAAAATACCTAGAGTATTGCAGTAGGAATAGAAGGATGAACTAGAGATGACCACTGGAAGAAAATTCAAGGAGGAAGTGAAAGATTTAAGTGATTGACCAGAAATTACCTGAGGGCAAGATTTGAGAAGCAGAACAATTGGTGAACTAAAATGTTGAAATCATCAGAGAATGTATGGCCTAAAGTTCACTAAATAAAGTAGAATAAAAAAGAGTAGGAATTGACAGAACTATAAAGATTTTTAAAGCATTGTGTTAATAGTGGTTATGATCTGTGTTTACTTTTCATATCTGTGTTTTCTAGAATTCTGCTGTATGGATTAGTTTTAGAATAAGAAATTTTACTTGATTTTAAAATGTTAAGAACTTTCCTTTTGTCACTATAAATCTTTGTTTTCAGTGTGTATGTTCAAGATTGATTGTTCAGTGTTAAGGAAAACCTAACCCTTGGTAGCATCAGCTTGTATAAGGTGTCAAAAAGAACCGAGGACATGTGTTATAAAATGCCAGGTTTATGTCAAAAATTTCATAATGGACTGTAGTATTTCTCTTTATCCTTTAAACAAATAAAATATAACTTCTAAACTTTTAGTAGACATACTTTCCTTTACCAGTTAGCTTTAAGTAGATGCTTTATAGATTACTTGAGATGAAGCAGAATCACTAATCATTGTAATAGCTGCTATTTCTTGAATGTCTTGCTATGTAGCAGGTACTGGCTAGGTACTTTAAATATGTTTAAGACCTCAAAGCCAACTTGCAAAAGTAAGTTTGAATACTGGTATTTTGTAGATGGGGTTATTTTTATTTTTTATTTTATTTATGTGTGTGTGTATGTGTGTGTGTGTGGCCAGCTCAGCCCACCAGGGGGCAGGGCTGGCTGGGATGTGGTGCTGGGGATTGAACCGCCATCCCTGTGCTTTGCTAAGCTTGTTCTAAGTAGGTGCTTTAGACCACTGAGCCATCTCACCAGCCCCGTAGATGGGGTTATTAAAGCTGAGAGATTTGGCATTTCTATCTAGATTGAGGAGAAGTAGCACTCAGTACCATGGTTGACATAGACTTTACAGCCTGTGTTCTTGACAGTTGAGTGCAGTAGATCTGATTATTGTACTTTTCACCCTAATCCTTAAAAGTCAGTTGCAGTTCAGTTTAATGCCATCTTTCGACATTTTTTAAAATAGTCTAATAGCAGGTCAAGAAATTTAGTAAGTAAAGCATGAAAGGCCAAGCCACCCGGGTGAGGTGGTAGAGATGCCGAGAGCTTTCCCTGCAAAGCCCATAGCACTTCAATGAGTATGATTTGATACTGCCTTGCATTTTTTGTTTCTGGCTTTGTATTTTCCTTAAGTTTGTCTATAATTATAAGGCTACACTCAAGGAGTATCCACATTGTCCTGTCCAGGATTGTAATGACATTTATGCGATGTCTGGATTCATGCTTTTCATTATACTTAATTATTAAAATCAATAATAATTTGTAAGCCTGAACAATACTGTCCATAATCTTTTTTACTCATGCTTAATTTGATGGTTCTTGAAATAAATTATTTCATACTTATTTTAGATCTGGCAGAGGAAGGAAATTAAGTGGAGACCAAATCACATTGCCAACTACTGTTGATTATTCATCAGTTCCTAAGCAGGTAATTTTGTTTTGAAAAATTGAATATGTATTTCAGAATAGTATTTTTCAACCTGGATTATTATTATTAGTGACAAAATTAATGTGGTAGTCAGGATTTTTGTTCCATTTTTCATTTGTAAAATTTGTATTATCTTGACTCTGTTGATGTTTTCTATTTTTTCCTGTGCTATTCTTTTTGGAGCACTTTTATATTTAAAAGTTTTAGTTAATTCAACATTTTTTTTTTAATGTCTGAGGAATGGTGATATTTAATAGCTCATGAGAACAGTTCATGATTCATGAAGGGGTCTCAAATACTAACTCATCTGATTCTTGCTTAGGCTTGAAAGCAGATTTTATTGTTCTAGTTCTTTTTAGATACACAGAGAGGGTAAGTGGCTCCCTTGCTCACTCAAGATAACTCAGAGACTTGGATTCTGCTCATTTGTCTCTAGAAGGCTCTAGAAGGAGATTTCTTCTTCTTCCTCATCCCTGTGCTCCTTCCTCAGTCCTTGATTATCTTTGTGCTTCCAGGAGTGGACAGCAGCAATACTACAGAAGCAGAGAGCTGGTGGTGGTTTTCATTCCCTGTGGCCCTAGCTAGTGTCTCTATCTTCCAAGAGTCAGGGGAATACCAGAGCGGTGTCATGGCCTCCATCCTCTCCTCTTGCCCAGGAGGAAGTGAATCCCTCTGCCTTCTGCTCCCAGGCCTGTTCTGTCTGCATTGCTAATTCAACATTTATATCATCCAGAGATTCATATTTATTTTCTATGTGAATTCAGATTTGCTGGTTCTGTATATGCTAAGTAACTAATTCTGGGTTTCATCAAAATTTTGAATATTATGTTTTGACACACTGCCTTATTTAAATGCTGTGGAGAATGTTGATGTTTTTGTTCTGTTTTATCATGTAGTCAGTTTGGTTAGGAGGAAACTTTAGCTGCAGGCTAACATCCTTTGTCAATTCCATTCCCAAAGCGTTTGTTTTTGTTTTACTTTTTATTTTTGCTTTTAAGTTTTGAAAAATAGTCAAAATAGAATGTATCAGAACGTATAACCCACTATAAAGTATTTTTTAAACTTTTGACTTAGTTTTGAAGTGTGGCTTGAAATATACATATTTCAGAAGGTTAAAGTCTGAAACCAGTAGTATTTTAGAAAGCCCATTTTTCTAATAGTTGCTGACAATGTTGGTCAATTAAATTCAGACAGATGTGGAAGAGTGGACGTCCTGGGATGAAGATGCTCCCACGAGCGTGAAGATAGAAGGGGGGAACGGAAGTGTGGCCACCCAGCAGAGTGCTTTGGAGCAGCTGGAACCTGACTACTTCAAGGACATGACCCCCACCATAAGGAAAACTCAGAAGGTAGGTTGGAGATTGGTGCTTTAGAGGGTGAAGATTTTCAAATTCCTATAATTAAAATTATACATTGTAATTATTTATTAGGAAGTCTATTTGTGATTATCATTTTGTTTTCCGTCATGCTAAGCATTTGTTGAAATCTGCATCTGAGCTTCTAGGCTTCAGGCTATGTGTGAGGGGCTGTTGAATGCTGTAACAGTTCTGTCTCATTCCCAATTTGGTGATATCTGCAAACTGCTAACTACATCCCATTGTTTATAACCTTTATAAAAGTGATTCAGGACTCTGAGAATTTTGTCTTCACTTTAGCCATCTCATTTATTTAATCTCTTTTGAGTTGAATACAGGGGATCACTTTAGAGCCACAGGAAATTACCAGGAAAAGTACAACAACTATTTTTCTTTTTGTCAAAATAGTACATGTTTTTAAACAAACAATACAGAAGTGCAAGTAGAAGCATGGTAGACTTCTCTCCCAGAAGCAGCTGCTTAGTTACTCTTTCTGTTGTGGATTTTTTTTAGTGCTTGTCAGAATATTTCTATCTAATACACGTGTTTCCTTTTGTTGATTTATCAGTTATTGACATTGTCTGATTATATTGTATTATAATAAGTACTGTTGTATTGTACTATAATATCTATTTCACGCTAGCCTTAACTGTCTTTCAGCTTCTTAACTAGTTATTCTTGTCTACTTTATTTCAGAAAAACACAGTGCTTCATTTGTTATTCTGTTGACTATGGGGAAAAATAAATAAA